GCACCGATCGGCACCCCATACACACGATCCGCCGGCTCTACAGCCAGCAGATCGCTTGTATGGTAACAGGCATCGCTGCCTGTTTTTACATTTCGGCCATTTCCCGCTCACGCGCGCCGAGCTGCGTGCTCGAGGGGGCGTGTCTGAGCGGACGTCTAAAGACGTCCGCTCAGATCTAGAGAGCTCCGGGCCGGCCGTTTTTTTACAAAATACTAGTTAAAGTGACATTAAATCTTAAAAAAACATTCAAGTACTATTAACAGAAATGTATCTTATTTGTGTATCACTCGGCTTTAGATCCTCAAATTATCTCTGAATTGGTGCTGACACTGTCCTTCCTTCTGGAGGGTGGCTACTTCTGTTTCCCATGGTCCCTGTGTGTATAGTAAAGTAGTCACCACTCCAAGCTCACTCCTGTGAGGGACTACAATCTCACATTTAGTTTACTAATTTGTACTGAGATTGTAGTCCATCCCGTGAGCGAGTTTGGAGTGGTGACTACTTTACTATACACACAGGGACCATGGGAAACAGAAGTAGCCACCCTCCAGAAGGAAGGACAGTGTCAGCACCAATTCAGAGATAATTTGAGGATCTAAAGCCGAGTGATACACAAATAAGATACATTTTTGTTAACAGTTAAGGTACATGAATGCATTTTTAAGATTTAACTCCTGAGTTTAGTGTCACTTTAAGAAATAAGGGCAAGGATACAGCATTTTTTGGCAAGTTCAACAGGTATTTTCCGCACTTGCTGAAAGTGTTTCAGCCTGAAAATGGAAAACCAGTGTAGTCACCTCATCAAAACAATGGTAGGCTGCAATATATTACGTTTGATTTTCTGTGTAGATACACTTCAATTCTCATCTATCAAAGTGTCAGTGATATATTGTTTTCTTTATGTTAGTATGATTTCAATGCATGTACCCCCAACAGATGTAGGTTACAAAAAACAGCATGCATATCTGCTGGTGAATTTACTATCCGCCAAGGCTTCTCTAAGAGAAAGGGGGTTGTTTACTAAGCTGCCGAAGGCAGCCGAGTGAATAACCGAGCCGGAGTGAAGGGAGCTGAACGATGTTCGGCTATTAACTCCAGCTAAGTACGGCTGATTTCTAATTGATCGGCTCTGTAAGGCTGCCTTCGGTCAGCCAAACATGCTCTGCTCAGCCGATCCAACAGGTCATTTGGGGGCGATTATTCACTTCAGCTCCGTACGGCTAATTTCAGATGTACATCGGCTGGCTTCGGCTCCCTTCGGTTCAGCCGAACAAGTTCAGCATGTTCGGCTGAACCGAAGAGAAGAACACGTTCGACACAGCTGATTCAACATCTGGATCTGCCGAGCCGAACCTCCCGCAGTTCATTAACTGCCGGTTGCTCCTATTCTCATTGATACGGCCAAAGTGAGCCAAAGCTACGGCCATATCTTTAAGCTCTTTAGTGAATAACCTTTTAAGAAATAATAATCCTTTATTTATGTTTGCAGTTCTCTTTAGAATTCTGGCCATCAATGAAGATTACCAACCGGAAGAAAGAATGGTATGTTTTCAGTCATAAGAGGAATAAGGATGCTGCTATTGCTCACATCCTGAAAATGCTAGCTGCCTGGCTATGTGAAACCTCTTATATCAGTTTGTAGTGTTACTGATCTGGAGCTAGTTTGAGATCCAGAAAGTCAAAGAAAAGCACAATGGTGGAAATTTATCAAAACTGGAGCAGAGAGAAACTGCAGCAGTTGTCCATGGCAACCGAATCGGCATCTCTCTTCAGTTTTCTCAGTTGGGAATTTGAAAATGAGACAGAGAAGCTGATTGGTTGCCATGCACAGCTGCTCCAGATTTTGTCTGCTCCAGTCTTGATAATCCCCCCCCCCCCCCCCCTTGTTTTT